CTCACTAAGAGTATTGAATCGAACGTTAAGAAACTAATGTTTCATTTACGCTGCTTTTTAGAGTTAAGAATTATTTTGGATGTTTTTTTAATTATCTAATTAAGAATAAAGGTATATTTTTAAGCATAGCTTTCTTTGTCGTATTTTTTTTATTACCGTATTTATTTTAATTATAAAAAATAGACGGCGATTACGTGAGGAAAGTATCGAGTTAATGTACACATTATTTTTTTTTAAAAACTAAACAAATTTAACTCTTAATAAACAAATTTAACTCTTAATGTTGTCTCTTAAAATTCAGCACACCTCGCTCCTTCACCGTGCTTAATAACTGGGTTTTCACTAAGGGGGCGTTGAAGTGTTTTTTGCTCCTTAAGGGGGCGGCAACGCTAAAAAGGTTGAGAATCTATGCTGTAAAGCATACCCTCCAACTACTAAGAAATTTCCGAAAATGTTTTTCTAGTGACAGCAAAAGTAATGCATTAATATTTAAATAATTTCAAAATAATAGAATTAACTCTACCACTCTGCATATTAATGTTTAAAACAGATGTCTAAAAGGTCAAGCTGACTGTAGTAGGGTTCCAACAAGTGACGAAAAATGCAAAAAGTGACATTGAAACGCAATTCATTTTTATTTATTAATTATCTCTTTAATTAGTCATTCGTAATTGCCACTATGACTTATGTTTGAGCCGTGAAGGCTTAGGGGATCGAGATTTTTCTTCATTGCGGTAGGTGAACTGGGTTCGAATAATAGCGATTGCTGGTTGATACAAATTCATTTTCTAACTTGCAACGACCACAGTGCTGCATAAAAAATCCTCAGTGATAGACAAATCTTGAATTAGAGTCCCCTTGCCGTCAGCTAATCGTGAAAGGCTTTCGAGGCTTTCCTCTCCATGTAATTCAATTGCGGGTTAATTCTATCAAAAAAGTCCTCCACGAAAGCAAATTTCACATAATGCTTGCTACAGGAATTCCCTTGTCTTCTGGGTTGGGTTAAAAATTACCTGGCTACGGGAGTTGAACATTAGTAGTCGTAATCAAGAATTTGGGTCGGATGTTCAACGACGGTTATAAATATGAAAATTAAAAATGTGATTGTATGATTGAAATATATTAGTAATTATTCGCTAAAAAAACTTCTTTATCTTTAATTGTAATCTGAAAAAATATGCTATAAAATGTTACTAATTATAATAAAATTTTAAACTTTATTAGTCACTACATTTTGCACTTTTAGTGGCTACCGATGCCCGTGGCTACCGATTCCGGGTCTGTTATGTTCTATTAGACCAGAATATTTAAATTGTAAATAGCCACTTTTTCCTCAAACCCTATGAGTCGGTGACTGATATCTATATTATTCATTATTCTTTTCATTTGATAACCACTTTTAGTCAACTCTTTTATTTTTTTGTTTGGATCAGGGCTCGAAAAAACTCAGAAATTTCACCCGTCCCCGAGGACGGCTTGTCCAGCAATATACCCGTCCTCCTTTGAAACTAACCCGTAGCTCCTAAATAAATAAAAATATAATTTTCTCTTATTTATTACTAACATTAATATAAATTACACAATGAATTAGTAGTTACTAAGGGTGCTAAGATGACGTTATACAGTAATAAAAGAAATACTATAATACTTACTAATAGTAACCTAGTAATTCTTTTATGAAATAATTTATTTCTTTTATGAAATAATTTAAAAGACAAAGGTCAAGTTATCAAGAATGTCAATTTATCCGAGGGTACTGCGTTTTTTAATTGAATCAAATATGACGTTTGCCAGTTCCATAATCAAGCCAATGATTTACAGAGGTTTCTGCACAGAAATCTGAAAGGGGTTTTCCATTTAGCTAGATGCTTATAATTGCGTTTAACGCTTCTTATTTAAGACCAGTACGAAATGTGTTCTTTTTTGTAAATTCATTGCTGAAAAGCCCCTTTCAACAGCTGCAGTACTCCCAGACAGAGAAAACATCAATTCCAAAATGCGCGAGGGTCATTTTAAAAGTGAGGCGTTAGATTCTGGTAAGATATCGAAAATTAAAAATGTATCACGAACATTAACGGGAAAATGACCGTCCGCGCGGACGTCGGATTCGAGAAATTCGCTGTACGCGGGGAATTTTCGACCGCCGAGGACGGGCGGACGGACTTTTTTCGAGCCCTGGTTTGGATAAAATTATATTTTTTAAAAAGAAAATACATAAAAAATAATATTCAGCTAGAAGAAGCTGATTCAACTATGTAATTAGTATAAATATATGGCGAAATTTAGTTTAACACTTTGACTTTATTTAAGCATATTTAGGGAAAAGAAATAAACCTTCCACATGAAACTTTCTATGACAAATTGATCGACTGTGAAAAATAAAATATTTGGATGGAGACATTGGACATTTTAATGAAAATTCTGCTTCCCAGAATTTTTTTGCATTGGTGTACTTTTTTTCTTGAACAATTAAAGAAATTAGAAGAGAGAATGACCGGGTTTTTTTTTTTTAAATTTAAATAGCCAATTTTTTTTGTTGAATTGACGCGGGGCTTGTAGCGAGTGGTAATTTTTAAGTCCATGTTCTAAAGCTGGAAAAAGGTTTTATCAAAATTTCTTTTGCTTTAACCCATTTTGTCCCGACTTTATATATTGAAATGATACAAGAAGTGGTTTTATGGAAAAGGTGGTATAATATATATTATCGAAATTAATTGGTTTTTCTACTGTTAGGGCATTGAAGAAGTCTTTGATAGATCAAAAAGTACTTGCTCCTTTTAATTCTAGATCTAATCAGAAATAACTAAATCATTGTGGTATCTGAGAATCTTTTAATTCACCCAGATAAATGAAAATTCTGAAAAAAGTTTCCCATCAAAATGAATGTCTTTGAAAAAAGGAACTGTCCTAAATATATGAAGCTGGGCGTTAACCGGTTAAGAACTTCTACTTTAGTTCATTGCCTCCAGAAACGAAATATGTAATAACATAACTTAGAAAATAAGATGAGTTTGTTGTTGCCTTATGAAACTCGTTAATACAGATAAGAAGCTTTATTTTAAAAAAGGAAAAAAACTTAACTTTAAATAGAAAAAAAGATATGTCGCTAATGGTACTTTTTAGATAATTATAGGAACTTGAAAAGACTCTGGATAATTAAGTGAAAAAGTAGTTTTAAGTTTCGAATTCATATTCCTCAAGAAATTAGCAGTGAACAAAGCAATAGTTAAAAATGATTTACAGTGCTGTTTTTTTGTTTTCTTATGCATCATGTCAAGACTGACAAGCCTATTTTAAAGGGGTTCTCATCTTGTTTTCCAGTGGCGCCATCTATTCGACTTCTGTCACACAAACGTCACAGCCCATTTTACAGGAAGGACGCATTCAAACACCATCCATCGTTCTGCAGACAGTAATTTTTACCTGTAGATAAATTTTGGTGATCAACCTCCAATCTAGTACCCCCAGACGTATTTATTTGTTAAGGGAACTTGAAGGATTTTGTGATCCAGATAGATTTAGCGTGCACCAGTCACCATTTTGTACATGGGGTGTCTGAAACAGGCGGGGATTAAACGCACGACCCCTTGATAGGAGCCCCACGCCCTTCCAATCAGACTACCCTGGCCTAAAAAGTTGAGAGACGCTAATGGAGTATGGTCGAATACATTATTATGAATAAAAATTAGTTTTTATGAATATTTGTTACCTTTCATAAAAAACAGTGTGAAAAAGTATTTCTCAAAATTACTCATAGTACAGTATTATTTTCTAACTAATTATTTATCAATCATATTAAATTCTAATGATATAAAGCATCTGGAATAATCAATAAAGGCATCCATTTAAGCTTCAAGTATCAAAAATCATTTTAATCTTTATTATAGGAGAGGCAGGCAATTAAAGGGGACTAAAGCAATTGGAAATAGTTCATATTCATATAGACTTATTTATAGCAATAAAAATCCATGAAATGCATCCATAAAAAATAAGATAAATATTAAAAAATTCTTATTTCTTCATGACATATTTACTCAACTAATTTTCACTTGTATAAAGTAAAGTAATTGTTTTAGAGTAGTAAAATAGCAATTAGAATGGCTTTGATAATGGGGACTCAAAATACTCAAGAACCGGCTTCAACAAGTTAAGAGGCATTTTGAGGAAAATAAAATAACAGTTATGTATATTTGTTTCTATTTAATTAAAATTAGAAATCAATTTTTTTAAAAAAATAATTTACATGTTTTAAGCATATTTGAAGTTTAAAATTTAAATGTACAAATATTTCTTATATCCGGTTTTAAAGATTTTCATCTGGTATGCACCAAATTAATCTTCACTAGATATTTGTCATTTCTAATATGTTTATTTGTAAAGCAATAAATTTGTTTTAACCCTTTCCCCAACTTTCTAACAATATTAGAAATCAAGCCCGGAACTAATTTAAAATCACAATATTTCATTGATTTAAGCAAAATTAGTATATCAAAAACAAATTTTATGAACAAAAATAGCATTCCATGGCTGCCAAATTTAATTTTTACATTTAAATTGGTAGTACAATTAATGTTTCCTTATTATTTCTTGGGCTCTTAAATTTTATTAAAATTATTTTGATCAACACCACATATAAATGGATTAATATTTGTAAATTTGTATGATAATCATACGACATTATTTTTGAAATCTGAAGATTTTTCTGCATATTATTGAAATTCAATTTTTATTTTATTACCACTCGAGGAAATCATCTTCAAAAGAATAAAAATTGGCAAGTATGCTATTCATTTTGGTATATAATAAATTTGACAGTCATAGTATACAATAGAAAACAATATAAGTAGAAAGAAGAAAATCCTCCTCCTAAATAAAATACATTAGAAGCCAGCACTCATGCATTTTAAGAAAAAATACATGAAAGATGATTATCATAATAATCTTAATCACATATAATATCATAATAAAGATTTTTATCATAATAATCTTTATATACTCACAGTTTTTATCGCAGTCACTATTTCTTTATCAACTCTCATAAGAGTTGGGTCATCAATATTTACTTGATAAAAAATTTTCAACTTCTTAAGGTCAATCTATAGACAAAAATGATACAGATAAAATTTTATTTTTGAGTGAAGAAATATGTTTATTGTTTCATATTTCAGTTGAATTTTAAAAGTAGACAATGAAAAAAAATGTCAGCACATTAAAAGAGATAATCATAAATACAAATAAGTATTAACGGGAATACAATAAATTTTAATTAGGCGTGTGATAAGAGTCATGTTGTATATAAATGCGTAGTTAGTTGTATATTATATTCATCACACGAAAACAAAATGTCCAGTTTGTACGGGTGTGGAGAGACTGTAAGCCTCAAAGAAATGAAATATTCCTAAATTCACAATGGGGAACAAATTTTTTGTTGCATTTATACAAGTACTTGATGTGGGTATGGGATTTTAAATCTAAAATTAATTTTGTTCTAAAAGCTACAGATTTAAAAAAATAATAATAATAAAAAAAACGGACTACCCTGAATTACTTTTGATCTAATGTTCACATCCTCACGCTTACGACTTAATCTTAATAGTTTGAAGGGGTAACTCAAATTAGGTAATTAATAAGTGCAGACGATATTTTAAGTTACAACATCAGAATAAACATACCTGTTTTATTCCACCGATTCAGATTTCTGAAATCCAAAATATAGGGGGTAGCCGTATTCTGGGATATATGGTCCCCATAGTTTGATATGATAGCACTCAAATTTTGGACTCTTCAATGCTAATTTTACTTTTTGCGTACTTCCCCATACCTCGAGACATTTTTACGCGAATTGAAGAATGTTTGCACACAATTATAAAATGTGTATATCCAAAGATAATCCCATGCAAAAATAAATTTTAGTAAATATTTATTATTTTTTTATTAAATATTAGTAAACAAATTTGAATAGTTTGAACAATTTTTCATATCATTTTAAAGTATTTAATTTTATATCGCAAAATACAAAATTTGAGCGAGATCGGTTGCACAGTTTCCGAGAAATCGAATTTTAAAGAAGTCGTATATTTAAAATTCCATTAGTCAGAAACCATTTGTAGCATATCTACCACTACAAAAATACGATCCCAATTCATTAGTATATAATACATGGGGAACCTTGTCGAGCGGTCGTTCACTGGGACGCATGTAAACTCTCTTTACACACATAGTATCCCCAAGAGATTTTGAGCGCGCTGATTGGCTTCCTCGGCAACGCCATCTGTGACGTATGGCTATTTCATTCTGCCATGCTTGTTATTTTCAGCATAAAGTGATTTCTATACTCCAGCTTTTGTGTACAAACTTGAAATGTCAGTTTTTTCAACAGAGAAAATGCCTTCTTCATTTAAAAATGAAGTAAAAAATATTTCCTCAAATACCATTACCCTTAGAAGTAATGTTCTAAATTTAGACGATTGCAATAGGCGGGTAAGGGAATTTGGGAAACTTACCAATACGAAATGAATTCTAGAGCATCCAAACCTCATGGAAGAAGGTTTGTTTGCAGGTAAATAATTAGTTTAGCTATTTTAAAAAAAAAATTTCTTTAATTTTTATGGGAAATGCTCTTTTCGTTAAATTTATGATTATTACATGCATGAATTCTTATGAAGCTAATATCCTTCTAATTTATTGAATAACATTGAAATCGAATTTAATTGCCTTGCTTAATTCTTATACCTACCATAAAATGAAAATTGAGTAGTTTTCGCTTGATATTTATTTAATTAAATTAATATTCATCGAATTAAATTAATATTTTATTTATTTTTTGTGGATTACTAAAATTAAATTATAAAATTTTAAATTTAAGATTTATTAGTGGCGACATCTATTATTGTAAATGAAAACTAAGAGATGTGCATTATGCCTACTTATTTATAACTTATTTTTAATGTTTTTTTTTGTTGAATGTTTTATAATACCGAAAAACTATTAATTGGCATCTAAGAAATCAAGCAATTGTCTTTTAAGATGCCTCTTTTATTATTTTTTGATTGCATGATTCCCATCAAAATAAAAGTCAATGATTATGAATTGTCCATTAAATTAATACCATAAGTAATTAGAGAATAAATTTACAAAAAATTCCCTCTTTAAATTCTAGTACATTTCTATTGGATAGTAAATATTTTTTTATTATTTAATTGCAGGAAATTATTTGTTTGTCACCACAGTGCGTTTATGAAAGTGCCACAGGAGAAATGTAAAAGAAGTTTTTCAGAAACTTTTAAAATTTTTTTGCTGAATTATAATTAAATTTTTTTAACATTTTAGAATATTTTCCTCTAAGATATGATAAAATCTTTTTTAAGTAATCAAACAAAATTTTAAAAATTTTTATATACATTTTAAAATCTCATATAATAAATTCAAACTTAACTGAGTGGTACTGCAATCATACTTACTAAATTTAAGTAAGAGTTTTTAATTTTTAAGTGCATAAGGATATTCACAATGCTACTCAATTTAAATATTAATCAATTCTTATTTATATATATTACATAAAAGCTAGCTAATAAAACTTTAATTTATGATAATTATTAGTATTATTATTATACTAAAATTATTATTAATTTTTATCATACTAATTTGATGTTTTACCAAAACATGATTGTTTACCTTGCATTTACCTAAAATTCATAACATTAATGTTAAAAAATATTAGCATAAAATTTAAAGCAAATTAGATTTAAATAAATGCGTTATTATTAAAATACAATTAATAACGCTGTTTAAATTTTTTGAGCAAAACTTTAACATTTGTCATAAAATTAGTATGAGAAATATACTGGAACTGATTTATGATTAATTTACATTTTGGGAACAAACTACGGAGAAATGTTATTGAGGAGGAGCTACAAAAAGACTTAACAGAAGGCAATGCCGAGAAAGCCAATCAGCGCTCTCAAAATCTCTTGGGGATACTATGTGTGTAAAGAGAGTTTACATGCGGACGGG